CTCGTGACCTCCGACATGCTCGAGCCCATTGTGCCACGTGGTGTTAGCCCATCTTGTTGAGTCTTCCTCTCTCTCCCTGAAAGTGGAAACAGTTCCCCCAGCATGCTGTCTTTTCCCATTCTGACAATATATGCAATGTACGTGACATGGAGTTTCACTATCCTTGCATAAGGAGCACAATGGTTGCACATCCTCCTTGTTCTTTTGGCAGTCCATGGGATGTTCAGTACTTATTCTCTACACTATAAAGGCATCAATGTTCTTCTGTCATCCTTATTTCTTGTCCAACTTTCAGATGCATAGGCAGTAACTGAAATCACTATAACCTGGATAGGCATCACTTAATCTTTAAACTGGCATATGTGCTCTTTAGCACTTTGGAAAGGTTCTTGACAACAGATTTTCCCATTGAAACATGTCTTTTGATTTATTTTTTGTTTGTTGTTTTTTATTGTGATTTTAATAGAAGTTTGCAGAAAGATTGAGTTTTCATTCATTCATTCATTCATTCATTCCTTGCTACACTTTCCCCCTCCCCCTTTCTCTTCCTTCCCAGTCCACTTTGTAATGCATATCTTGTTCCAGATTGATACATGTCATACACATGATGCCTAATCATACATTCCTCCTTCCTTTCAGATAGTCTTTTATGCTGAATGACATATCTCAGTCATAAAAGGAAAAGCACTACCTAACACTGCTGTTATAACATAGGATGGATGTGAGAGGGTAGGGGAAGAATAGGAAAAGAGACAATGAACACTGCACTGGAGCAGACGAGGGGAAGGATTGTCTTGTCTGCTGCTACCATTGTTGACAACTTCAGTTGTTCCACCATCTATCACAATGTTACCTCTTGTTCCAATGACAGATGCGGAATTGAGGGTAAGGGAGGAAAGTGTGCATGAATGAATGAATGAAATGTATCTCTTTGTAAATCTTCACTACCATTACAAACATACAAACCACAGTCACTCTGTTACTATCCAGTCAATTCCAACACCCAACCTCCCCATATGTTATGGAGTTATCATTTTTATGGAAGCAGATTTCCAGGCCTTTCTTCCATGTCACCCTTGGATGGGTTTGAACTCAACATGCAAACAACTAGCATTAACCTGCAATCAATCTTTTGCAGGTCTTTGACCTCCTGGGGCAAATGCTTGCAGAATCAAAAATGGAGTGCCTTCCTGCACACAGTGGCCCTAACACTCGCCCCACCCTCTGCCCACCGCGGGGGCACCTGTCCTCTGTCCTGGCTGCTCCAACTGCCAACAACTGTAGAATAATCTCCTTGCAAATATCTCCTCACCCAATGCACTGGAACCTGAGGGTGAATTTAAGTCCTTCCTCCTTACCTTCAGACATGATGAGTAAAATACAGAAACTAGGAAAGTGTGTCCTCAATCCTGTGCCTGGAACTCAGAAGCGCTTGTCTTTGCTGCCTGAGGCAACCAGCATCCCATATTTATTCTTCAGACTGACAGTGAGGCCCCAGACATGGCCCCAGAGAAAAAGATGTAAATAAAACTAAAGAAAACTAGGCGCGTCCTTGAAACTCCCCTGTCCCTCCGCCAACAACAGGGATTTATGGCTTGGATAATTCTTCTGTGCTTTATCCGGGGTGTGTGGGCATGTGTGTATATGTGCAGGGTGCTAGTGTATTTTCCTTGTAATAAAACCCTCAGTCCCGGTGAATAAATTCGAGAAGACAGTTTTACTGACAGATTTTTTCCCCTCCTTTGTGTAATAAAAAAAATGGAGTGAAATTTGAGATTGGGACGATAAGGGCTGCCGCATTTTAGGAGGAGATAAAAAAGCAGTACCTGGAGGGAGGCGAGGCTCAGCCGAACGAAGATGAGTCAAACGAGAGCAGCGGATGTCTTCCACTTTTATGTCTTAGGGAGGAGAACGCCTCAACCCTCCGCTGGTCCTCGCCCCTCCTGAGGCGCCAGTTGCTAGAGGCGTTCCGAGGGGTTGAGGCATTTCATTCATAAACAGCCTTGGTCAGTATGTCCGGCCAAGATGCCAAGCTTACCTGGGTTTAAACTTCATCTTTGCCAGGGACCCAGCATGTAACCTCACCAAATAAATCACTTTGTCTTTGCGAGTTTCAGTTTCCTCATCTGCAAAATGGAAAGATTACTATTGCTTCTGGGAGGCTTTGTGAGTTCAGTGGTTGAAATCTCACCTTCTGTGCCCCGTCTCAATTTCCTCATTCCTCATTTGAGAAATAAGTTTGATCCCTAACCAGTGAGCCTCATGTGCAGCTATCAGCCACCTGTCATGGAGGCTTGCATGCAGCTCTGTTGCTGTACAGATTTCAGAGGATAGACTAGGAAGAAAGGCCTGGAAATCAATAGCCAGTAAAAACTAGGCCATGAAAACCCTGTGGATCCCACTTACTCAGTCCCATTGTGTGCAGAGTTGTTAACCCAACCACAACTAACAACAGCACTGTCTATTATGCTCACATTCTAGCGATGCCATGGGCGAACACAAAATAATTGGGCTTAAAAGTCTTCCTGACATTTGGGGCTGGCTGAAGGTCTCTTCATTGTGAGTCTGTCCTGTGCAAGGATGTGTAGCAGGATCCCCCTGTCCCCTGTCTACTCAATGACAATAGCACACCACCTCTAGTTGTGGCAAGGAACTTGCCAAATGTTTCCAGGGGAGCAAACTTGCCAAAGATCATTTTAAACCTTGTCAAATGTCCCCTAGGGACATGTAACGTCCCTTACGTTCCTAGTTGAGAACCACTGATTTGAAGGCACTTTAGAGGCTCTAAAAGACCAAATATGGGGGGGGAGGAGCCACTGTGGAGGGAACCTCTGGAACATCGTGGCTTCCCTGCTGGGCTGGGAGACAGAAGAAGAAGAGGGAAGATCTGATGAAGAGAGAAGTTAAGCCACCATCCACCGCTTTCTCACCCTGGGTGCTGTGCAAGCTGGGCATCAGCTGGACTCACAAACTCCACTGGGGCATGGCATCAGATACATTGGGGTTAGGTACATTCCTGGGGGTCATTGTCAGAGTGACTTCAGACAGAGAGAGGGGTCAGCCTCTCTTCCCTTTCACTTCTCACTGGTTCTCTCCTCTCTGTCCCTCCACTCTCCCCTTCTTAGTGTCCCTGTGCTGCAGAGGGGGTCAGATGAGAGGGGGTGTGCCTTCAGTGAAAAAAGCACAAAGATCTCAGAACATAGGGGAATCCCAAAGGACAGACAGTGAGATAGGGGCTTAGCACTTTGTACGTCCCACTCAGCATCCCAGAGACTCTACTAGTGCCCTTGTCATTCTTAAAACCACCAGAGTTCAGCTGGAGCTCCCAGCTAGAGCTCCTGGGATTCCTGTTGTGTCCGGGCATTGGCTTGGAGCAGAAGGTGGATGTGATTGACATTGCTTTATTCTGAGCTTACAGTTCAAGGAACAGACCCATAGAGATGTGGCATACAGCAGGCATTCACCAAATGATGCTGGGATCTACTTGAACCTGTGTCCTCCTAAGCCAGTAGCGGCAGCACCTAGGCTAGATGTGTAGTCCAAGTCGCCTTGGGTACAGATGTGTCCAGAGGAGCGCATCCTCGCAGGAAGATGACAGAATCAAGCTCTAGTCCCCGCCTTTGCAGGGGAAGCGGTTTTCAGCACCAGCTCCACCCCAGCCCCTCGGAGTAACCCTGTCTCTGGCCACCCTCAGCCTCCAACTCTGCCTCCACCATGCAGATCCTCAGGGAGTTAATTCCACTTCTCCAGGCCCAGGCATAAGGCCTCCCCGTTGCAGGCTGTTAGCGCCCAGCTGAGCGGCGAGAGGCTGCAAGCTCCCAGTCTATAATAGAGTTGCTGAGACAAGCGGAAAACTGCAGCCGAGTAAACAGATAAATAATTGAAACAGTGACAACACATACCTTGCTGCTTTGTGGAGTAACACTTTCATTAGCAGGAGGCGGCGAGGGCCTGGGATGCAGGCGGCCGCTGGGAGGATGGGACACTTGGGTCCAGCTTTTAATCAGCCGTGAACAGCTGGACACCTGAGCAGCCTTTGTCTCCCGGCCCCTGCTTTATTATCTCCTTCTGAGTTTTCTGCCTCCTCAGTCCTCATGTTCTTAGGTGAAATGAGGACCTCTTCCGCCCCTCCCCAGGTTTCCAGAAAAGGCTCTTCACCCAAGCCCTTCTGTCCACCCTATTATGAATGTAGGTTAGAGGCTCCCCGGCTCCCTGCCTCTAGTCTTGCTCCCTTTGATCCAGACGTGTTTAGAATCTGAGCAAGACGCTCCACCATTGCCCTTGGGTCCCCACTGCAGAACTGACTAGGTACTACTCTTATTGCAGAAGGCAACTTAGCTATCACTTCCTCCAGGAAGCCCTCTGTGACTGCCCCATTCTTATGTTATGGGACACCTCTCCTCTGGGTTCTCCAGTCCTGGACCTGTCCCTTGGAGGCTTTATCAGAAAGTATTGCAATTTTGTTTCTTGAAATCCCCCATGAGATTTTTGTAACAATGCCTGCCCCACCGTCCTCAATTTTCTCTACTTTCTTTCCAGCCTATTCTCCATCCCTTCTCTCTTGGGAGCTGAAAAGGTTTGAGAACCAAGCTGTGATTCTGCAAGTCACAGCCACACTCTCTGGTCCTGCCCAAGTCTCCACAAGCTTTGTTTGTCACTTCTGAAAAGCAGGCCAATCACAGAACAGGGACAGCCTGATGCATTGGGAAGAGCTAGAGGGAAGAGCGTGTGGCTCTCAGCTCTGCTCTGTGCTCCTTCTTCACTGTAGGACCTCAAGAGGTCACCTCGCTTTAGAACCTCAGTTTGTGCATCCGTAAAATGGGATGAGAGGATGTAGTGATGGTTGTGACATCGCCAACAAAATGCATCTCCAGGGGGACCAGAGCAACGGACAATGGGCTCCCTGCCTCTGCATATCCCCAGAATCCTGGGAGCTCCTTCCACGTGGAATGAGATGGCCTGGCCTGGCTGACCCCTCACCTGTTCTGTTTCTGTTGCAGGTGACAGATGGTGGCACTATCAAGCAGAAAATCTTCACCTTTGATGCCATGTTCTCCACCAACTACTCTCACATGGAGAACTACCGCAAGAGGGAGGACCTGGTATACCAGTCCACTGTGAGGTGAGGCTCTGTGCCCCGGGGCAGGGGGGAGGATATGGACAGTGAGGGACGCTTCTCTGCCCTTCCATGCCAACTTCCTCAGTCCTCATGGGATCACTGTCCCCAAGCTTGGAAGGCAATGATGGGGGCTCTGTAGCACAAGTGACACTCAACCTTCAGGGGACACTGAGGCAGGAAGGCGTCAAGTCACATATCCTGCATCTTAGCCAAATGCCAGGCCCTGGACCTTTACCTTCTAATTCAGCTCCTCAAGTATGTATGGTTTCCATAACCTACTTCCATATGAGGACAATGAAGCCCAGAGAGGGTGAGCAATGTGCATAAACTCACAGAGCCAGGGGTGACCAAGCCTGTGTATGAACCAGCTCTCCCTGGTTCCGGAGACCATGCAGCAAATCCTCATGTGTTCCCCGATGATTCCAAAACTGTGCAGACCCCATGTGTAGAAAGGAAATCTAGCCATTAGCAGCTGACCTCAGATCAGAAGCAACAGCAGGATACAGAAGGAAAAGTGTGCAAAGATGGAGATGTTTAATATTTCTGTCTCTACTCTTGGGAGGTCTGGTGGCCTAGTGGTAAGAAGTTGTGCTGCCAACCCTGAAGCACCCAGTTCGAATCTGCTAGCTGCTTTGTGGGAGGAAGATGGGCAGTCTCCTCCCATATGACTTAAAGCCTCTGAAAACCTGCTTGCAGGCCAGCAATGAGTTAGTGCTGACTTGACAACACACAACAACTACCTGGACTCCTCCTTTCCAGAAGGTTTGATTCTAATTCATACCCTGTCATTTTCCAGGTACCTGGGCACCTCTAACCTCACCATCTCCCCTGTGCACACCCTAAAAGGTCCCACGCTTGGGTTAGGTGCTGGTCCCTTTCCCACAGTGTCTTTCCCCTTTGAGTACATGGAAAAACCCTTAATCATCAGCCTTGAGAACCCAAACCCAAGCAGATCCTCCTGAGGCACACCTGCTCTAGATCACTTCTCACGTATCCGAACTGAGCTCTCCCACACCTGGAGTGCGATAGCTGCACTTGTAACCACCCTGCCACTAGGTGGAGCCCTCAACACACTGCCGCAGAGCAACTTCACACAGGGCGCATGCGCAGTTTTATTGGGTTTTTAGATTCTGAGCCAGAGGCAGAACGCATCTCACTCTGCAAACAAATCTTTTTGAGACTGACTGCAAGCATCCAGGGTACAAAAAGCAAGCTCCCCTTTGCTTATCTCCCCAGCTCTCAACACAGAGCCTGGCCCATAGTAAGAATACAATAAACACTTACACAAAACAAATGGATGCCTCTGGATATGGCCCTTACTCATTGGACCTCAGTTTCCTTATGGAGAGAATTGTGAAGTGGGACAAGCCATCCATTCAGCCTGGTGTGGCGGGAACTTGTGCTGGTGGGATTCTCTGGCCCTTTGTGAGAACAGGAATGACTTGGAGGGCTGTTCTAGGGTCCTTGTCTCCAGACTGGGGTCCTCGTTTCCCAACTGGGGTCCTTATCTCCCGCATTCTCCTCCCTGGGCTCCATGCAAGGAACCCAGTGTCTCTGTGGACTTCAAGGAGATGCTGGAATCTCTGCACAGAGGCCTCATTCATCTGCTTATTTCTCCGGCACCATTCCCAAAGAGGATTTGAGATGTCTTAAATATTAAAGCACACATAAGACAAACCAGTTACAATCAAGATGGAAACAGCTTAAAAACTCATTTTTGAAAAGAAAATCGCTGTTCTGAGAAAATCACAGAAAAAGCAGTAATAAGTGAACCCCCAGATCAACCCAGGCTCCCAGGCACCATATGCCGGCTTCCACCAGTGCACGGTTAATGTGGGCTCTGAGAAGCCCCCAAACCTATCCCCCATCACTGCAGGGGTGACCACTAGGACAACCCCTCAGATTCCTCACTCACTGCTGTCTAGTCAGAACTAACTCCTAGCTGACCCTCCAGCGAGTTTCCAAGGCTGTAAATTGCATGAAAGGAGATTGCCCATTAACCAAAAGGCAGCTGGTGGATTTGAACCACTTGAAGGACGTGGCCTTTGGTTTAGCAGTACTACTCCCCAGGAACTGTGTCACCTGAGCTCCTTGGGCCAGGGCACAAATCTAGAGACCATCAGAACACTCTTGAATCCCTCCTGGGCATACACAAGTATCAAGAACCTTTATCCAGGTTCAGGGAGAGCTGGCTGTAAATCACAGGTAAGCCTGTACCTCCTGCATAGGCTTGGAGCCAGGGTCCTCACCATTCTCTGCTTCTGCTTCCTCACCTACAAGATAGGCCTTTGAACTATTGTGGAATGTAAGTGGAATTTGTGTCCAGAGGCCTGAGTTCAAATCTTACCTCACCCACATCCTAGCATCCCTCAGACCTTGAGTTTCCACACCTTCAACAATGGCTCACTGCTGCCTCGTAAGGCTCTGAAGAGATAATTCGTTCAAACTGGTGCACTGTTGCTGAGTGATGCATGTCTGCGGTTATTGCTAGTTCAGCTCCTCCTTCACCATAAAGACAGAACAAAACCCAAACTTGCCTTTTTATGAATCTCATAAAGCTTCCTAGGATGCCTTCTGTTGATCCTCAAAACAACCCAGAGATGCAGGCCTGTGGTGTTACTTTTCTCTTACCTTCTTTCAGTCCCTGGAGAAAGACATCATGCTTGGAAAACAGTTGTTGTTGTTGTTGTTGTTGTGTGCCATCAAGTCAGAACCAACCAATAGATGACCCTCCAGTGGGTTTTCAGAGGGAGTTAATCGCTCCTAGGAGGAGATTGTCCAGCCTTCTTCCATGGGTCATCTGGTGGATTTCAACCACATGCCTTTGAGATTACAGGAAAAGAGGAAGACCCGCAGTGAGACGGATTGACACAGGGGCTCAGACGCAACAGAGATTCTAGGGAGCAGCCAGATCCTGTTGTCCATCGGGTCCCTGAGTCAGAGCTGGCTCTTAACACCTGACAACAAGAAGCCTTATTTTACACAAGGGGCAGTTCACAGAGGTCAAGGGTCTTGCCTGTATGAATTTAGCTAGACCCCAAAACACTGTGATTGCTTCAACAGTTCGTTTGCTATTGTTCTTGTTTTACAGTAGAGACTCAGAGAGGTCTGGAGACCTGTACAAGGCCACACATCAGCTCTTTTCTTTCCATCCCATGCCTGGACAAGTCTCCCTTGCCTTTCTCTGAACCTCAGTTACTGTGGGTTAGGGTTAGAGTCTTAACCTGTAGGGGTCCTGTGGAGACCCTTATGCAGGGAGCCCTGATGTTGAGTTGTCGAGTTCAGTGAGCACCAGAGGAGATGGGCCCTCAGCCCGGAGGGCACAGCCCATGGGAAGGTGGGTGCTGGCTCTTTGTAAATCTAACGGGATTGAGGGAAGATGCAGGCCTGCCCAGGCAGTAGCAGAGGAGGCAGCACTCGAGGCTGCAGGGCTCCATTAGGGCTGGCGGTGGGGCGCGGGACACCGCATTTACATATAAATGAAGATATTTACAAATTAATGCATCTCAGCTAGAGAGAGTCCCAGCTCCCAGCTGTCTGAGCTGCTTCCTCTTCAGCTGGGGAGAGCCAGGAGAACGAGGCTGAGCCGATTATGAAAACTTGGCAGAGCGCAGTTTTCGGGTAGCAGAGAGGGGGCCCCAGGGACTCCCAGAGCTGTTTCTCCCACTGGCAGGTCCGGAGATGATGAGGCGAGGGATCTCTATCCTGGAGGCAGGGGAGACGGGCAAGGGGGGGGCACTGTGGCACCCAAGTTATGTGACTTTGGGCAGGTCACAGCCCCTCAGAGTCTCAGGACCAGAGCTCCCAGTCTGGAATTTGAAATCATTTATTGCTTCAAAGGATATTTACTCGAGTTCCTACTAGGAGCCGGGCTTGGCATATAGCGGGTAACATGAAAGGCCGAATTTTACTATCTAGTGGGAGAGAAGAGACAAGGACAGCAAATGTGTGAATAAATATATCATCACCAACTGTACAGAGACAAACGGGGATTGGGTAGTGCAGGGATAAGCAGGGCGCAGCGGTGGAGAACGAGGGGAGCTGGTGCCATTTAGGGGGTAATCAGACCTTGGAAGTGGGGGAGCTGAAACCTGATGGGGGGTTTGTGGGGACATACAAGATTTAGCCCTCATCTCCCACCCCCACCCCACCCCCGTCAGCCACTCTGCAGGAGAAAGATGAAACAGTGGCTTCCATAAAGATATCCAGCCTTGGGAACCCTGTGGGGCAGCTCTGCCCTGACCTCCAGGACGCTCTGAGTCAGAAGGACCAGCAGGTTTGACAGTACTGATCCCACCCACTACCCTCACAGCACCACCCCTTCCCTTAGCTCTCTCAGCCCTACAAGCCTGCACATCTAAGCTCAGCCCAGGCCAGCAGTAACAGAGACACAGCACACTACAGCCTCTGCCTGGGACTCATGCAGGAGGAGGATAGCCAGGCCTCTGTCCCTCTGGAGGGACAGATCTCTTTGATACTCCCAAGATTCCCCACTCCCCACCCCACCCCATGCCAGACCGAGGCCCAGCAGCCTTAAGAACCACCTCAGAAGGGATCTCGCCATCCTCCTCCCCTGACATTCCCATCCCACCAGTGCTTCCTGGAATCCCTTCCCTAGTAAATCACATGTGTCCCAATTCCTGTCTCTGCCTCCTGGGGACACAGTGTAAAGTATGCAGACAGCAGTAGGTTCTAAGTGACAGTTCCATCTGTGGGCCTGTTGTATCTCCATCCTCCACACCTGCCTTCTCACTTCCTTGCCTCGCCTCCACTCAGGGCACACAAATACCGGTGAACTGATGGCACCAACTCCATATTGGGAAGACTGGGAAAAACTCAGTCTTCCTGCCCCTCTCCTCCTGGGATACGGCAGCCACCTGGTGGTAGCTGGGACCTATTTGACTAGCAGAGTCAAATAACAGCCCTTGAAAACCCAGGTCCCAAGCATGCTACATCTGTCCCTTCCACCCCACCACCTGCACAGTATGTGTTCATCTGGCAGG